ATTGATGTAATAATATAATATTAATAAACAATTATAGTTAAACTATGACGTTTCTGATATTCAACATACCTAATATTAGTAATATTATGTTATTGTTGCGTATCGTGCTATTATAAACATTAAATATTGTTTGTTTTCCGCGTTGACGACGTAACCGTCGTAATCATAATAATATATAATGTGACGTATACTCACGTGCATCGATCGGTTTTACTAAATCGTCGACATTTTTTCTTGTTCGCAGACACTTCKATGTTCAGGTCCAAAGGAGCCATTGACGTGGACGGAAATGCCCCAGCGACAGCCATCAAAAACAACGCCGAAACGTACAACTTTAACGCTCAAAACTACACAAATTCCGCCAACATTACCGGTAAGCATCATCGCGATACGATTATTGTGTAATTGAAGTCTGTATAGGCGGGTGGGCTCGCACTTAGGGCAAAACGGGTGGCGGGAAGAGGGTGAATAAATTAATTTCGGGAATTTTTTCGTGAATATCGTGCGGTGACAACAGTAATCGATTGGAGGTGTTATCCCACCCCTTTGCCTGTCATAAGTCGTTTGATTTCCGCGACATCGTTGTAATTGATTCGGTTGAGAATTGTTACGTTATGCATGGGTATAATGGGTATATATAGTGAACATCGTTTGCACCGATTCCGTGTTATTTCGTTGATTCTCTCTCTYGGAATATCTCTGATATTTACCACGTCATGACGTTTAATATATTATTTATATATTATTATATATATATAGACACGTCGTTTTTATTCGATAATTTATGTTTTTGTCTTAAACGCCAAACGGTCTCTAGCCAAATCGTTTGCCTATTAAGTATTAAATAAACCACCTCCTCGGAACGAAATAATAAACAACGGTCAACAAGTGTCAAGCAGCTATCTTACACACACACAAATATACACATGAATGAGTCGCGCGAGGTTTGCGAGCATACCACGTGCCGAAGTCGCGTGTATACAATAACGGCGGAGAATTTTCCTAATTACTTTTTCCGTAGTGAGTACTGTTATTTCTATTACGCCTTTCTACGAAATTATTTTAATGTAATTTATTAACTCTTTTATAACGACGGTCATTTATCGTTAATAATAATAATWATTATTATAACATACATTTTTTTTGGCCTTTAAATCTGACGCAAGTAATAATAACAATTGCCTACACAGTTACTAGGTACACGTTTATTTCATATTACGTTTTTGAAAGAAATAACTAATAAGTTAATAACTTTAATTGTTATTATGAGTGTGTACCGCGGGTTTACCGGCATGTTTTACTAGTGTCAATAATACCTTTGAGATCGCATGGCATGTGATTTGYRGTGTATCTATATCATTATGATTTATGACAATAATAGTGACGCGCGTGCCATCTGATAATAACAAGGTGACGGTAGTAGGTTTTTTTTGTTCGCAACATACGCAGATTGGTTGACATTTCGCTATAATAATATGTACTTATGTTATTATACCATACATATTATAAATATTTTAATATTTATAATATCATAACATTATAATTATTACTTATCATATAATAAACCATTCCTAGCCTATGTTGGCTATCTACATCTATTGATACTTACAGAATGGTGTTTTTCGGTTATTCTAACACGATAATAATTAATGCATAGCTAGACTTAATATGCGTACATATTTGTCATGAATTAGATATTTTTGTTTTTTTTTTTTTTAAACGTCGAATTATTTAAATATTTATGTGTCACCCTGTGGACAATTATAATTAGAAATAGAATTGTTCGCAAACATAATTATTAATTATAATATAAGTATACGTTTCCAAAATGTAAAAACAAAATTAACCAATACTCTTGACTCTTGTATATATCTATACTAAACTTAATTTTACTTTATATTACAAATATATGGGCATTACGGTTTCTTATGTACATGTTAAAGTCGAGTTTCATATTCTCGTATTTAGTAAAAAATTACTCTACACTAAAATACCGTTAAAAGCCGAAACACGAAAAATAGTCATTATTTTACGGGCGTTTCTACATATTATTACTATATTAAATCATATAATTGCCATCGATACTGCAATAATATTTAATCCTCTCATTTCGAGTGTTCAATATCGCCCATCTTATCGTCTCGAGATATTATATTATTATACGTATTTATTATAAAATATTATTTGGGTACTATCTGCATAATTTTACTGTTTGTAACATTATAGTCGTTTCATCTATCTAATCTGTTCGCGATGGATAATAATTTTTGTAAAGACTTTAATCCTCTTTGCAAATTTTCGCCAATAAAATCATAAACAAATACTACGTCATCCATAAGTATTCTGCACTCGAACGACTATTATTTTTATTGCTGACCAATATTATATCACCTTAAGTATTAAACATCGCGTTATCGTGCGCACACGTCGAGTGTCTGCGGATTTAAAAACATAAAATAATAATTGCGTTCGGATGTTTCGAGATTTATTCGTGAATTATTTTTTTATTTCGTCGCTGCAGTCGTCCAATTCTAATAAAATCGAACGATGTAATGTTTCACATTTACAAGGGCATCCGGAGAACCAGACAAGCGGCGGCGTGGCTAATATGTAGATTGTAGGTAAACACATTTTGCCAGGTGTGGTGCAAAAATAATAGCCATTAGGCAGGTTTTAAAAATTTCCAAGACCACTTAATACCAACGTAATAATATTATATTCGAACTCTGAGAGAGGTTTATTAGGTAGGTATATAGTATTATAACCTATATGTCGCGTTATAATACGCGTTCCCATTATTGTAATCGACTGCAGCAGATTATTGCGAAATTCATTTGCTTTTCTATAATGCGACAGTTGGACAAAATAAAAATATTATGTTTATAATATKCTTAAACATTTTACGCAGAGTCCTGCTGTAAGATTGCGTTTTGTTTCCGCACGTTCAACCCCTATCTGTATATTATATTTACGTAAACCGGCATTTCCTGTAGACAACTTTGTTTTACTTAAATAATCTATTTTTTTTCGGCTATTAGCAAGTAATGATATAATGTTTGTATATATATTATAAATTAATTACAACAAGATAGGTACCATAGACGTGTTTTATTAGTTATTACCATATTTGATAGTTTTTTAATTACGTGTCATGACGAAACATTTATTGGTTTTTGATAATAAATTGTTAATACGTACAAAACATATATGTAAATATTACGGTAAACTGTAATATAAGTCTATTAAATGTAATTTATTATATTTAGGAGTGCGTCTAATCGACAATAATATTTTAAATCCTGGAGTCGTAAAATTATGAGACCGAATTTATAGTAAAATTTATACTTCATAGTTAATTTTTTCGACTACGATTACACTTTCATCATTATCGTTTCACGCATCTGCAGCAATATGATATTATTATTACTATAGTACACAATATAGGTATATATTTGAAATATATATCTTAATTCTTAATCCGCATTTATGACTGCACATCACGCACTGCCGCGACAAACGACAAATAATACGKTCATTGCGTAATTCTTAACGAGCAACAACAAAATATACAAATCATTATATATACGAACGGTATACACTRTAATATAGTATATACCTACTTCAATGTAAAATATCTGAAGGATTATGAAAATATATAGAACGTAGAATAATCGATACGTAAAGCCAAAAAGTCAAATTCCGTCGTAAAATAAAATAATGACGTCATCAGAGAAATCTAGACTGAACCGGAAAGTCGGAAATACATTATGATATTAATATATTGTAAACAGTCTATTATACACATAATATACATTTATATATTATACATAATAGTTTTTTGATTAATATTATTGGTTCTTGTTTGGAAAATGGAYTTTAAAGTGAGTACAGTAGGTGCAAAATTGATCATATTGCTTCTTCCTTCTCCCTTCCACTACCACTGAAACGACCAACTTTTTTGTATAATRTGCACAATATATAACGACAAAATCGGGTATTTTGCCTCTCGTGATAATTCTACATCTGATTTTTTTGTAATACTGCTTATAAAATGTAATTGGCTCTCAAATTACTCCAATCGATTTCAATCATCATAAAATATTATAGTATATGTTATCAAAACCGGCGTCGTTACGAAATCGCTGTGGGTTCATACAATTTATTTTACCTAGTAGATATCAACCTACTTATAATATATCGTGTTATAAATTATTAGTAATGGTCGATGGAGGCAGGAGGGGGTAAAAAAATCGCCTGATTACTTTGAATAAATCTGAAAAAGATAATATTATAGGTAATATAACTGACAATTTAATAATTATTTTTTATTTTTKTTTTTGAACAGATACGGAAGACGATGAAAGTACGTCCGGTGCAGTGGGTGACGAGGAAGCGCTGTCCGCCGTGTGGTACCTAGCCGCGTTTGGCGGCCTGGTGCTCTTCTTCTTCGTGGTCACGTGCTCTGAACTTTTCTTCGGCAATCCCATCTACACGCGTCGCCCCGTTGAACTTCCGCACGCCGGGTACCTGCGCCGTCACGTGTACGGCATCCGGAACCACGGACAGCACTACGGCGGCAACTACAAGCCCGAGACGCCACCCCCACCATACCACCTGTTCGCTCCACCCAGCTATGACGATACCGTTAAGGGCGGGTTCGGACAGGTGCTGCAGCAACAACAGCAACAACAGCAGTACCACCACCGCGTTCCTGGCAAGAAGCTCGCCAACGTGTATGTGGTGCCCGTGCACGCGGCCACGACCGCCGCTACCGGTGCTACCACCTACGCTGCCGGCGCCACCACCTGCGCCACGTGCACCACGAACGCCGTGGCCGACGCCAAGCTGTTGGCCGCCGTGYTGCCACAGACGAAATTCAAATAATCGTCGTGGCCGCCACCGACACTATATTATACCTTCACATTTCCCATTCCAACATCATTCGTCCCCTCGTCACGTCATCGGTCCACCACTGGATTTTTACCCCTTCGCGGACGGACCGGGACGGAAGGCGACGACGACGACGACGACAACGACGACGGCTACCACGACAAACTACTATTTTTTTTTTGTGTGTGTCGCACAAAAGAAGACGACGCGAGCGCCAATATAGTAATGTAATAATCAAAAACAATTATTAGTGTATAATATCGATCGTATGATATTATTTCTCAAACACTTTCTCTCTCTCTCACACTCTGCCGTCGTGTCGTACACAGGCGCGTTCTTTGATCTCATTTTTATACATATAATGTACATATTCAAACGTTATTTTTATACACGATCACACACACACGCGCGCGCGCGCGTGCGCTCACTACCTTTTATGTGTGTTAATCTTATAAACACGGTTACATAACATTACGATAAACGCGTTATAATRTTATTACTATTAATATTGTTCGTATACGCGTGTAGTGTAATATCATGTTGGTTCGGACAAAATTGTTAATTGTTCCAATATACGATATCAATAAATATTATTGTGTTTATATAATTTAATATTATTCGTACAATTCTGAGTACTTTCCAAAAGTTTTTATAAATTATTTATTATTATTATTGATGTATGTGTGTGTGTGTGATTTTTTTATATTATATTATATACATAATTATTCATTATTTTATTTATACATATACATATACATATAATATGTAATATACATAATATGATATTTAATTTTATGTATACACCACGCTTAGTATATGATATTAACGTCGAGACCATGAACATATTATATATTGACACAATGTATCATATTGTCATTATGATTATTTTATTTATCGCGTACGACGCGACCACGCGAGTCGGTCTGAACGCAGTGGCGGTCCGTTCGCTACTAATGTGATGAASGCGCGCGGGGACAACACGTCGTCTACTATGCCGCGCAGTCGAGTCCCCGCGGTGCCGCTGCCACCGGACAACACGTCCGACGCGGCGGCTAGCGATCCACGCCGGACACGATCGACGAGACAGCTGCTAGCGTGTCCCGTGCCCTATCGTTGTCCGGCGTACGTGCAGCCTCGCACATCGTCACTGACCAACTACGCGTTTCCACTATCTTTATAYCATAATATAATATTATGTATGTACACAATATAATATGTTTTATTGTTGCATATTTTATATATTGTAAGCAAGGTATCAAGTCACACAACTCGAATGAATATCATTAATTGTTCCCGATGTTCTCGTTTCTGCGAGATTTTGATATTGTGACCTACGTGTTTTTTTATGTATCCATCAACGTATACCGTGTACGTATGATTGTTTTTTTTAACCTATTTTTAATTTACGTGTTGAACGTAGCCTATATTAGGCGATTTCWTTTCTTTCTTTTTATATATAATTTATTTAATAAACACTGTTACCAAACACATTTTTATCTAAATAAGTTTTGTTTTTATTTATCATACCTATATATAATATGATTGTATTATTTGTATTCCAATCATAATAAACATTAAAAAGAGTTGAACTGACAGAAACCACGAATGTCAGAACAGACATTGTAAACAGCACGTCATACACAAAGCATTGATAATGATTTGAGACTGTATATAGTGGTGTGATTTGTTGATTTCTGGTTTTACTTGATATACTTGCAGTGTGCGGGGGCCTGCTGCGGAAACACAGTTGGAAGCCTGGTCGATATTTTGTGTGTGTCGTAGTTTTCATAGCCACCTGCAGTATTCAATATTGATCATATACGAATTGATTTTATTCACTGTATATAAATTCAGATTTTTGTTACTACCTAAGGACTGTCATTACCCGACTTTGCAGACGTGATACGCTCAGAATTTTTGAATTTCAAAACTTTTTGAATTTCCATTTTATCGCCAAAAATTTTGGGGATTCTCACTTCATCACCCTCTGGGAGGGAAAAATTCGCTTTCCAACGCTTCAACCGTTATAGAAAACAAAACTTTTGGTCCAGATTTGTCAAAAAATTTCCTGGAGACGTACTTAATTGTATAGTTTATGCCTTTAAAAATCTCGGTACATACTCATTTTATACATCTTATAATATAATACTCTGATCAAGTTAAGAAACTTAGTCTAAGAAACGTAGTCAGCAGCTGACTTTTGCGTATATGGGCTTTAAAATGGGGTAAAACTKGAACACTATCCATTTATGCACGTATTATACATATGAATGTGAAAAATATCGTCACTGCTAACAAAGACGCAGCGTTCAATAATTAAGTTTGAGGGTCTAAACATTTAAGGGGAAGGGAAAGCAAAACGTCTAAATGCGAAGCATTTGGATGAATCGGAATGAAATTTAAGATTTTCGCTACTTCCAATTAATGTTTGACTATCATCGTCATCAGGCAGGACCGTCCAGAAGATGAAAATTACGAGGAGGTTGGAGAGGTGAAACGTCTAAAAAATGCAACTACAACATTTCTACTATGAATAATGTATTTCTTATATGTATATATATTYCGAAATCAGATATGGTTACCTGTACCTTTCATAATATTATGTAGTTGCATATCATAATTATAATAGGTACGTACTTATTTTGAATTTGGCTAATTTAATTATTTTAAAAAGAATACGATAAGTACAAAAGAGTATACTGATACCAATACATGGGCGCCCATTGGGGGGGGGGATCGGGTTCTTGCCCCCCTGGACAAAAAATAATATGAATCGCTTGTGTATATGATTAGCCTTCATCGTGAGAGAGTGAACATAAACAAGGATATTTCCATTCAGGATTTCATTAATTATATGTATGATTGGAATAAAAAGAAGAAATTTACAGTTCTTATTTACCGATACGGGAATAATATATTAGATTAGATTATTAGATTTTCTATTTTTTTCTATACTAATTTAAACGTTTTTTAATATGTGAAAATAACATTAAATCTTTACTATCTTACATTTGAGATTTTATTTATTTTGACCCTCCTTAAAATTTTACCTGTGCGCGGCCACCGCCCATGTGCCAATATAAAAAATATTTTATAAATATTGAGTTCCACTCGAATTGTGAAAAAAAAAGAAATAATGAAACAAATGTTATGAATGTTATGAATGTTATGATGTACAATTATAATTATTAATATTATATTGCATATTACCTACTACTGCGGCTCGTAACGAACTAACGAGTTGTGTATTGTATTATGTATATATATATATATAGCTACCAGGCACTTGCTGAGGTTTCGCAAACATTCTAGAATTTTCATAATTTTTGCGTCATTGTTGTACTTCACTATACGAGTCTGTAACATCGTACAACACTAAGTATGCTATATACATACCACTTGTTATAAAAGTCAACTCATAAGATGCAAGTGTGTTTTCGCGAGTCGCAAGTGTGTGAGATTAGATTATCGTTATTATTTTCGTTTTATATTATCGTTAGATACTTATTACTGTCATACTCGACGTAACAAATGTGTCATTGTATCGAAAGAAAACTGTATTTGCCCAGATATAACAATATATTAATACACTTATAATTAAATACGCGACGTGCCAGCGTATTGTGTATTTTATCATTATTTGTATTATAAATATTAATTAATAATAAATGTTTATCCCATCAAACAAATTGATATTACCATATAATAATTATAATAATATTCAAAGAAAAGATTATGAGTCTTCTCAAAAGCCAATGGCTGTGTAATATGCAAAAGGAGCGAATTCTACCAAGTATTATATAGTTATAAATTTATAAAAATATATAATATATATTATAACAGGCGCAATTAGGGGGCTTAGGAGTATTAACACTATTAACATACCAAATTTTAAGATTAGCACCCTAAAATAATAATGTTCGTGTTAATATATTAAAAACTCATTCTTACAAAAAAAAAAAAAAATATAGAACTAAAATAAGAAATAGCATAGCTTAAGCACCCTTAGTTTTTTTTTTATTGAAATTGCGCATAATATGTGTTTGACTGTARTACTGTACTAAGTTAATAAGAAAACAAGTTGATTTAAGTTAACATATTCAACATATTAAAATAAAGTAAATTTTTTATATCAATTGATATTTTCGAAATTATCTATTTACATTTRAATCGTGACTATAACAAATTTAAACTAACTTATATTGARGTCATTGTAGCCCAATTTTACGTTCTCATTTTAGAAACAATTAATCATATTATATTATTATAAATGAACACTTTAATGCTGTTCATATAGGTACGTGTTATGTTTATATGGAATAAACCAATACATGCAGTATAGACAGCATCACACTCCGAGAAGTCCGAGAAAGTCCATAGACCTAATTTATAGGATGAGGGAATACAACTAAAGATTTAATTTAATTTAAACTCGGTGTTACTAAATATATCATTATTCGTTACCTWTAAATTAAAATATATTTTATCTTATTAGCATATCTTAAGTCATACCCGCCGGTGTTGTCTTTGTCTTCCTAAAACCGTTTCAACTCTATGCATATTCTCCTGTTTAATATAGGAATACAATATTGTCAAAAGTATTGTTAATGAAGAGTAAAGATATTATTGGACAATTTTCTGAATATAATAGCTAGGGCATTTTATATATTTACAATAATTGTATTTTGCTATATTTTATAGAGAACCCAATGAGTATAGCCCTAAGCCCGTTACAAAGTGGATCGGGGAAGTGAATCAGAACAGCATAGCCGAGATATGCGCGTGAATGGGAATAGAACTGGTTGGCTGCAGGTGATGCAACAATTCATCGAAGAAGWGATGGTTATAATAAGAGCAAGTAGAAATTGGAGTAGAAAAGGGCCGAATTCCAAAGTCAAAAGAGTACACCCTGTCTGCCTTTGTAAGTTTTTGTGCTCTCGCCTCTATACATACTTTGTTGATCATAAATTCATAAATATTCATAGTAAATTATGTGATCTAGGGTAGAATGTGATGCGTTTTCTTTCGTGGTTCGTGTAGATACCTGTTATGAAACAAAAGTGAAAAGTAACGAAACCACTGTCTTTTTTCCCCCTTTCCACCATTAACAAACTATTATAGACACCCCGAAAACTGTCATACGCATCGTAGGTATAATGAAATAATAATGCATTGTAAAAGATATAATAGCTATACATGCCTATATGGGTATATGACACGTAATTTAGTACTCAATATCATTTTAATTTTTTTTTATTGAAAAATTAAAGTCTATAATAATTACTAATTATCAATAAATGAGGAATGTGACTGACTAACGATTTTAATCATCATTTAATCATCGATATTAGATATAATATTTCTTTCAGTACAAACTATCCAAGGACTTAGGTCCGTACGTATTGTAACACATATAACATTTTATAGGTGAGTGGAAGGGGGAGGGGTGTTTATTAATTATTCGTTATACAATAGTTTAACTTTTTTTAAATTTTACATTTTAATAAGTAATTTTGAATTAATAATTATTAAGCACCCAATATTTTAATTAAATAAATCGAAAGTAAAAAAAAAAAAAATGTATATTTAAAATATTTATAAATAGCTCAAAACGAACAAAAATATTT